TCGTTACAACTAAAAAAAGTGTAAATTAAACAAGTTATTTGTTTGACGATATACTCACCACTCTATCAAGATCCTTGGATCCATAGCGCATCCACTGCATGACGTGCACACCACACTCAGTATTATTCCTTTGCCGTTGAACTCGTAGCTCATCAAAATTGAAATCTCCAAAATTTGGTACTCCTACATTGCTCATGCGCTCCGGTTTGAAAATATCATCCAAATTGGACAACTACACACAAATAATGAATATTTTAAGTTTCTAGCATCATACGTGACGCTTAACAGTCAGAAAATTATAGAAAACACTTACCAATTTCTTGCATAGTGCTGATTTACGCCTACGATTCGCCTCACTAGTTGAAGCTAGACTGTCAAGCAAAAATGCAGTTTTTTGCTGGACATTGACGAGATACAGAAACCAATGACGTGCTTCATCGTCAAGAACTGGCATAAATATCTAGCAACGAAACACTCACTATATGTTATAAACAGCGAATACAAACAAATGCACTTTCGAAATTTAATGATATAATGACATTGACTAGACTAACCTTCTGGCATGCACCGACATTCGGCATAAAGACCACGCCATCATTCATCAACTTGTTACGAATTTGTCTGGTCTTCATGTTAGCGCGTACCATTTTCTGCAGCATGTTTTAGTTGAGATGAATTGACATGGTACAATATAAATAACTAGGTTATGACAAATAATTTGACATTACGGCTCTTACCGAAAACATATTTGGCAAATACCACACATTTGGCTCTTTCACATCATGTTTTTCAGACATTGTTAGTGCCCTTGCACACAAATCCACTACCTACCATCCAACAATCAAACACAAAATCATCGTAAATCGTAACATAAATAGTGCACAATTCATACGAAAGTCGTAGTAGTATAGTACTTACTGATGAGCAAACCCAGCTATTCTCGCTAATGACCGAACTCAAATAATGTCGTTGCACGTTTTCAGAAAAAAAGTCCACAACGGTCAAACTACAAAAATCAAAATAACAAAAATGTCAATTGTGATTTGCAACATACAGGTCGACCTGTTCACAGTCACGGTCGACCTTATTGGAAAAGCGGTCGACCTCATAACCGATCCGGTCGACCACACGTACTAAAAAATGTCTTACTTGTACCAATTCTTGTCCCCAGCCTTCTCTTTAGTAACAACATAATACAAGTCTTCAACTGGATTTTGAAGATTTTTGGTGAATCCTCTAGACCCTCCACTTTCATGACCTACAAATCATAGTTAAAATTAAAGTAACATATGAACACAAACACACATTATAGATGAATATGTAACGTAAACTTACCCCGTGCTTTTCGAAAGGACTCTTAGATTCTTCTTCATCGCTATCATCACTAAATAATCCTTTTCTTACAAATCCGGCCTTCTGTGGAGTGGTGTAGGAGTCACTTTCATATCGAGGTCTATTGTACTTAGGAGAGGAACCCTTGCTGCCATTCGTTGTTTCACTCTGTCAAACATATAAACAAAACAAATTAGCACTAATGATAGTAATACTAATATCTTCAATCACCTATGAATATACTTGGATACCTTTAAAATGTGCTCTTTCAATAAATCGTCTATGCTCTGGTAGCAATTTTCAGAGTCATCATGGTATTCTTCCTCTTTACCAAAGTCAAAATTAGGTCCTTTACCATTTCTTCCGCCATTCTCCATTCGTTCTGCACTTATATCTTTGATAGCACCTTCTAGCCTCTCAAACCCGTCATGCATCATCTCAGTCATATCTGTCAGTCGAACTGACAATTGCTCCACTCTATCACACATGGACTTCTGAAAGTCATTGACTTGTGTTTGACACACCACCAGCTTCTCTTGTGTGGCTTTCCACAATTTCATGATTTCACCCAAATCTTGATGCAGTTTCTCATCATGCGTCATTGTCTAAACAATTTCAAGAAAAATTTAAATCATAATTCAACTTCAAATTTCTACAATTGACCAAAAAACAAATACGTGGTCGACCTGACATAGTATTAGGTCGACCTGGAAGACAAATAGTGACTACCACAACCATTAAGGTCGACCTCTGTTATTCCTAGGTCGACCTATCCAGCAGGAAAATAACAATTAACAACAAAAAGTAAGTTCTAAATTAAACCGAAAAAAGGATAGGTCGACCAGATATTTGGCGCGGTCGACCTTTTCAAGCACAACATAGTCATACAATCAAAGCCAAAGTCGACATTCAGGTTGAATAACCAAAAAAACAGGAACGGTCGACCTTGAAACCCATTAGGTCGACCAATTGGGTTACCTCGCAAGTACAGAAATCCAAGTGTTGTGGCCTAAATTCAAATACGCAGAATTGTCTCGTCAGGTCGACCTGATTGACGTCACGGTCGACCAAATGGAATTCTGCACCCAACAATATATCAAATTAGCCGGTAGAAATCACGCATTAGAAAAGAAGACGACGAATGGTACATTAGGTCGACCTCACCTTAGACCTGGTCGACCACTTCCAACGCGTACAACAGCAACCGCGAACGATCTTCTTCACAAAGGCTCTTAATCGGAAAAAAACCTAATTCAGACTTGGAGGCGTTGAAGGGGACTAATATTCGTATTTATAGAGATTTGGGACGTCAATGGGTCGACCCAATTCGTTTCCTTGTCCAATTGTGGAACCTTTATGGTGTTGGAAACCATATCCAATACGGATACGGTGTGAAGGCGGTCGACCTCTTCCTAATGCGGTCGACCTGTTAGGTGCACAAGGGTCGGCCTATGAGATATTTGGGTCGACCTTTCATTCTGTTAGACCACCAAAGCGGTCGACCGTATTATGTAAGAGGTCGACCGCGTCTTGGAATCCCACAAACATGAATTAGTCGATTCGGTCGACCGAAAAGTCCATGTCACGGTGACATGCATGTCACCGTAGCAAAATCCAATAAGATAACTATAGTCAAATTATTCTAAAAACTTGGATATGAATTTACTCGATAAACTGAACATAGATGACATGTAAGCCTTTTTGAAACCGAAATCACACAAAAAAGCATTTTTGTCCAAAAGATTTAGAATTATAAATAAAATCCTCTATTTCATAACCGGATGGAACGTTAAACTGAAAAAATTAGTGGTTTAGAGTTCATTGGTTAACCTTTATAAATCATTGATTAGCCGTTGATAGAACTATTCATGATCTATAATATAAAGCTTTGTTTTCATAACTGGACCAGATGCAGATGCGAAAGAGTGAGTAGTTTAGGATTCAGTGTTTAACATTTGATTGAACCGTTCATGATCTATAGCACATAAAACATGTATATTATGATACACTAATGTAAGAATGAATTTATCATTGACCATAAAAAAATTCAAATTCTTATTATTTATCAGCAAAATATCTAACAGTGTTCGAACCGTCGCACAAAAGAAATCATAATTCTTTTAATTCATGTACGAAATTAGGGTGGCAGTTGGTGGTCGATCACATAGAGCGGACAATGAGGTTGGGAAATGAGAAGATGAAGCCTAAGTAAAATTAATGATTATGTTTAGGAGCACTTCATCTATGTTATATAGTATCGGTGCTTTAATGCACAACTTGAATTTTTACCATAACATCAAATGTATAAGTTTAGGTTGTACCATAAAAGAATTTGTACCATCGTATAAAGGTACAAGTTCAAGTTGTACCATAAAAGAATTTGTACAAAAATATAGGTACAATATGAAGTTATACCATAACGTTAAAGGTACAATTTCAAGTTGTACCATAAAAGAAAAAACCTATAGCATCCATGCTATATAGCTTTGTAAAATTCCTCTTATGTTTAGATGGTCTTAGTTTATGTTAAAGTATTTTTTAATTATAGTTAAAATAGCGAACCAATGGACCAATCAAAATGGAGTGGTTCATCTGGTTTCATGTTGAACAATGGAAAACTATTTGATCCATAATTAAACGTCCAAGAAAGTGAATAAAAAACTGATTTGACGATTCTACTAACCCAACCATTGATTGGTCCGATTCTTATAACAATGAATTAAAACCTGAAAACATGCATACATATCATGAAGAACCAGTGATACCACCGGCCAATGGGCCGGTCACTAAACTAGTAATTATTATACGTACATTTGGACTTTGTAATTAGGCATGTAATTGTTTTTTTATTGTGACTTATCATTAGAAAGTTGATATAATTATTGAAATGCATGGCTCCAAACATCCAATGATTTTCTCCAACCCAATTCACTTGCTTTCTCTAATCGTAACCCAAATCTCGACTTCGAAGTGAATAGTTGGTAACTATGAATTTCGACCAATATTAATAATATTACTATTGTTCTCCTATCTCATTCGACCAATTTCGAACCTACGCCACCAATCGTTAACTGAATACAATGATATTAGTATTGGTCGTGACGACATATTATTGTTATTTAAATAAAGCGAATTTGGTAGCCATTAGCTACTACTAATCCTACCTAGTACAAATATTCGAACTAAATAAACAGTGAACTTGGAAATCATTGGTACTTATTGATTCGCCACCGCTAATCTCAACCAACCTCGTCCAAACTTTCACTTGAGTTTTCTTTTTAAGTTGGATATTTTCTGAGTTTTGAGTAGGATGGTTACTCCAGACAAAATGTGGTGTCTACAAAGATAACCCAGACTAATATCGATTGGAACACATATAAATGAGAAACATCGTATAGTAATATCTTGACAGATTACAATAATATCCGATAGGTACATACTAATATCAGTCCATTACATATAGTATATGTTCATAAAAATATCCATAACACCCAGAATAATCTCCGATTACATAAACTAATATTCGTCTATCACTGAACCATTTCCTCAATGTCATCTTCCAAATCATTAGGATGGTCATCCAGTTGAGTATTGTTGTCCGACGTGAGCACTTTGACTGATTTCACTCCCTTCCTATAGAAAAGTTCCTTTCGACGACTTTTTCATTCTCAGACTGATAACATTCATTGTCGTGGCTCATTGAATTACTCTTCTCCTTCAAAGTCATCCCACTTATTGGTACAGACTGTCCTACAATGTCAGAGAATTTACTAGTGCATGCAATTATATTAAACTCTAAAAATGTACAAACGATATTAGTGAATAAACTTACTGTCCTCGCTAGTTATAGTCTTTGACAATGCCTTATTTGCCTCATTGCACACTTTTTTTAGTGCTCCCATCCACTTGTTGTAGTCTTTCTCACCAACCATCGACAACTTCGTTGCTAGGTGATTCAACATTGCAGTGGTTTATCTGTACCGCATTGCTATACCTTTTCCCACATCATTCTCACTAAAGGCAGCTGAAGGACCAAATGAATAATCGACATCAACAACCTCTTTCTTTCTCACTTCCAACGTCCATCGCTTGAGTAGGTAATGCTCTGAAATACTTCTCATACTAGCATTCCCAAAATTTCCAAGCAAATGCATCACCTTAAACATGTGGCGACATAACACTCCGAAAGTTCTGAACATCCTGCATTCGCATACCAGTGTCCTTGTAGAAATATTAATGAGAACGACACACTCATCACTACGCTCACCACTACATCTCATAGGTGAGGTAGCCTATCATGCCATCATCCCTAGTATCTGACTGCGTCTCCATTTGATAGGATCCAGTTTTCAAATACTGCTCCTGTATCCGGTTGAAGATGTTAGGCGTAAAGATCTTTGCCGCATGTTGGAGGATCGAGCTATGCTCCAACATTATATAGGGAACCAATTGTTTCCATTGTAGGCTGACTCAGTCTCTTGGCGTCTTTTTTCAGCCAACAAACTACTATTAGGAAGCAAAACAAAAAAGTTCAGTGCCCAGACTAATACCCACTAAAACAACACTAATATCCTACCAACACAAAGTAATATTTGACCATCGCATAAGAATATCCAGGTGAAACAAAAAATATCCAAACCTGGCGCAATAATATCCAACAATGGCAAAGTAATATCTGCTTACGTACCTGCTAAAGTGAAAGAAAAACAAGTCCAAATCATGCTTCAGTTTCAAGAAAAGTCGCACTTGTGTATTGCATGACTCACTTGCTTGCGTAGACAACATCCTGGGTGTGAATTGATCTCTCAACCATAAGAAATACCATCAATGACAAAATTTCTTCAAATATTCCAACCATGGGTGGTCGTCCGCAATGTCACTATTAGGGAAACATTCAACAACCATGACTCTCCATGCCATGTCGAACTCTACCTCATTGTCGACGTCGTAGAAAATAAAAGAAAGATGATTTTGGAACTTCTTCCAAAATTCCTTGTCCTTACGAATATGCTTCTTGGCATTCATTAGGATGTGCCAAGTACAGAGCGCATGAAACACATTAGGCCACTTTTTTCTCAAGGCAGCTGCCATGGCAGTGTCCTAATCGGTAAAGATGTTGATTGGGAACTTCTTCATGCACCAACTAAATGCAAAAAACAACCACTCAAAAGAAGGAGTGGTCTCTTCATACAACAAGCAGGCACCAAACACACAAGTTGACGGTGGTGATTGAAACCTACAAACATCACTGCACAAGACAACCATGTTATGACAATGTATAATCGAACAAGTGTCTAAAAAACTCAAGGGAATTACGTGATTCACGTACCCAGTGGAAGGAAGTATTTATTGGTTCGGAAGGTCGTATCAAAGGAGACTGAGTCTCCAAAAAGCGCAAAATCTTCACGCATCCTACTATCCGCCCAAAAAATATTAATAACTTTCTCTTCGCTATCTACCTTTACAGCATAAAAGAAGTCGGGATGATTCTCCTTTTGGTCCTCAAAGTAGTCAAGAAAATAATTCACTTCGCCACATACCATTTTCTTTTGTCATTTACTATTCAAGTGGTTCTTCTAATCGGATTTGGTAAAAGTTAGATTTTGATACCCACCGGCACAATCAGCTAAGAGCTCATACGATGCACGAAGACTCATCCCGACATTGCGATTAGCTTCGACCATCTTTCTCTGAGCATCACTCATGCACTTGTTGGACTTGTGCAGGTGCTTATGCTCTGTTGAGTGCAAATCATGACTCTGGGCTCCTACGAATTCATACACCACAAATCCGTCCTTATTAGCATCCCATTGAAAATGAACACGGGCGCTACATCCATCCCTAACTTGAGGCCTCTTTCTTTTAGGGCACCTTATCTCTACAACCTTGTCTTCCGAGTGTCTCTGTTTCTCCATATTTACGCTTAGTGGAAGTCCAACCTTCCTTATTACAAAGTAATAAAGGTATAAATAATTTTCCTCCACCACTCCTTTATAATTATTCATTTTTCTTAGGTATTTCCCATCGACTCGAATACCAGACCCTTTTTTGTGAGCATAGCGTTTATAGAACGCCAAACACTCTTCCTTAGTGATATAAAAGATGTTCTTCCTTGCTTCCTCGTCTTCTAGCATCAAAGTATTGTAAGTTGCGAGATATTTGGATGACATGTTAGAACACACATACATTTATACTACCATCAGAATCCAAATTGCCCAGAATAGTACTCAATTTACGTCAAATAAAACCCCACAACAAACATATAGTAGGCTAACTTATGACAATTAATCTAATATCAGTATCCATTTTCTCCAAAAACGTATCCACACTACTATTATCCGTATCTAAAGGTCTAATATCCACACTACTTGGAATCGTATGACAAAGACTCATAATAGAATCCCATGACACCCAATAAATATTTTACTCACAATGACATCATCAAATGTCATTTAAATTTTAATACTCCCAACCAATGCTATTTCAGTTCTCAATGCTATCCCCTCATATGCTATGCAAACTTCCATGCTCCCTCTTTGTATTTATGACTTGATTGACCAAAAAAATAGAGGTTTTGTTTGGGGTTCGTGTGAAGGGAGAAAAAAAGTGCATTTGCTTTCTTGGGATTTTGTGTGTAAACCTAAGAACCAGGGAGCCCTTGGCCTTAGATCTGCTAGGAGTTTGAACTTGGTCTGTATGGTCAAGCTTGCTTGGAAATTTTTTAACAATGACCAAGAGTTGTGGGTTAAAGTGATGCAAGGATAATACTTCCACAGTTCCACCCAATGTAGTCAAAAGCGTGTTTCTACGTAGAAGCGTTTTGGTGATCTAGAAGCGTAAAACCATAAGCTTTTAAGCTATAAAGTGCATTTTTAACTATGTTAGTTATAAAAACTGCGATTTTGCGTAGAGCATTATGGTGACCTAGAAACGTAAAAGCGTAAGTATTTAAGTTTTAAAGTGCGATTTTGACTACATCGCTTCCACCATAAGGACGGAAAGATTACAAAGATAAAGAAAAGCAATCATTCCAGCCGATGGAAGGGTATAATCAAAGCCATGCCCTACATGAAGTAGGCTATCCAATGGAGTTTGAGGAATGGGGAATCAACTAGCTTTTGGACTCACCCTTGGGTGGAAATGGTTTAGTCTTGGAGGAGTTTGCTTTAAAGGACCTAATCAAGGAAGAGCAACAAGCTTCAGTGGCTAATTGGACTGATGAATAAGGTAAGTGGGATTGGGAAAGAATGAGAAGTTATCCGAACCTTTGTAACTGGCTTCTTTTTTTTTGTAGAATTTTTATATTTTTTTTATAGAGGGATTAGATTGTTAAAATTAAGCATGTCTTCAAATGTAATTGCCTTCTTTCCAGGACTCGTGATATTAATACAATGACATAGGGCGCGATGCGTTTAGGGCTGCAAATGAGTCGAGCCGAATAGAGTTTTACCTCAGTGCAACTCGAGCTTGAAGGAAAATATCACAACTCGAGCTAGTCTCGAACTCAAACTCGTGACAAGTTCAATATATCAAGCTCGACCTCGGCTCATTAACCAAAATGGCAAGCTCGAGCTCAACGCAAGCCAAACTTGATAATTACTCGACTGTTAGCTCAACAAGCCCAACCCGGCGTTGAAGCTCGACAAATACCATCATTTATCAAAGCCCAACCCCATAATGGCTCTAAAACTTCTAAACTCAGGCTGACAACTACCGAGTAGCCATCATCGGTCCAACAAAGACCAAACATAGCAGTTCATTTTATAGGACTACTTGCCAAACAAAAGTAAGCCCCCTACCCTTATATAGTTGAGCAAAGCAAGGGAACATCTTATGCTATCGATGTGGTAGAAAATAAATAAAAGAACCCTTTCTCCGAAGAAGCTATCAACTCTACTGTGTTGGTGCAGAGGTTGCAACTGTTCTCAAAACGAAAAGTCCATAAAAATCTTCGAGTTGTAAGGAAGGATACCACGGAGACAAGTTAAAGTGGCTTATCAAATAAAAGATATATTTGACGTATCAAAACAAGAACTGTACAACAAGATAGAAAGATAAAATGCCCCCATATTTGTACCTTGTTCTGGTTTGATTATGAGATCAAAAGCACATATCAGTTAGGACCAAGCACCAAAGACAAGGAGTGGGCAGGGGTGTAGTTCATTACTCGTATGCAATCTGCATGACTTACTAGGTATCAAGCATCCTCGCCTCAACCTGAATCAGCCTCTACTCCTCTTGTTTAGAGTGATCGAACCACAGGAAAGAAGAATCCCTTAATTCAGCAGCAAAATGATTTATTGACAGATACTTCCAACTGTTTGGGGGAATGCATTCTTTTGAAATCAAATTCTGTGATGTACCTCCAGAATGGGAAGCTTGGCTATGTTATCTAACATTCCACGAAAGGAACAATTATGTGATGAATGCAATGGTTGTTTTAGAGCCAAGATCTTATAAAGAAGCTTGCAAAGAATTGTGTTGGAGAGAAGCTATGAAAGATGAATCTGATGTACTTGAAGCAAATCAGACTTTGGGAACCAGCTTATCTCCCAGCAGGTAAGAAGGCCATTGGATGTAAGTGGGTGTATAAAGTGAAGCTTAGAGCAGACGAGACCATAGAAAGGTTCAAAGCCAGGTTAGTGGCTAAAGGCTTTACACAAATCTATGGTATAGATTTTCTGGACACATTCTCATCAGTTGCCAAGATTAATTCTGTAAAGGTATTACTGGCAGTAGCCGCTGCTAATGACTGGCTCATACATCAGATGGATGTATCAAATTCTTTCCTTCATGGAGAGCCCAATGAGGAAGTTTACATGAAACCTCCACCAGGTATGGAACTACCTGATAACAAGATGATTTTGAAACTGAAGAAATCCCTTTATGGATTAAAGTAGGCTAGCAGGCAATGGTTTGCCAAGTTAGCTAGCTCCTTACTCAAGAAGGGTTTTGCTCAAGTAGCCTCTGACTATTCTATGCTTTTTGAAAGGGTTCAGGGAAGGATTCTAGTTGTTCTAGTGTTTATTGAGACATACTAATAGCAAGAAGCTCCTTGGGAGATATAGAACAGCTCAAGTTGTTCTTGGGAAGAGAATTCAAGGTAAAAGACCTTGGTGATTTGAAGTTTTACCTTGGACTGGAAGTGTACAGAGACTGCAAAGGGATTCATGTCAATCAAAGAAAGTACTGCATGGAACTGCTAGAGGATACTGGTTACTTGGAGGCAAAGGATTATCTGGCACCAATTGATTACAAGCTGAAGCTTGTTGCTAAGCAGGGAGAGCCCTTACCAAACCCAAAAGTCTACAAGAGGTTAGTAGGAAGGCTACATTACCTTACTATTACTAGACCAGACCTAACATTTGCCATACAACAAATGTGCCAATTCCAAAAGGATCCATATAGTGAGCATCTACAAGCTGCTTACAGGATCTTAAGGTACTTAAAACATGCTCCAGGAAAAGGATTACTTTTTAAAGCTGATTCTGAGTTGAAGCTAAGTGGATTTTCAGATTCAGATTGGGCAAGTTGCCCTGATACAAGAAGATCGATTACTGGTTATTGCACATTGTTTGGTGACAAATTGATAACCTGGAAGTCTAAGAAGCAGACAACTGTTTCCAGGTCATCCTATGAAGCTGAATACAGGGCACTTGCACATTTGGTTTGTGAATTGCAGTGGCTTAGAGGATTGCTTGCAGAGATGGATGTGAAAATTCCCTTACCAATTCAGGTTTACTGTGATAACAAGTCAGCCATCCATATAGCTGAGAATCCTGTGTTTCATGAAAGGACAAAACACATTGAGATTGATTGTCACATTAAGAGGGAGAGATTGAAATATGGTTTGATCAAATTGGAGTATGTAAGAACAAATGATCAATTTGCAGACCTGTTTACAAAGGGGATGACACGCTATCGTTTGAAATTCTTGCTTGACAAGTTGGGAGTTTTGGATATGCATTCACCAACTTGCGGGGGAGTATCAGAGCAGATGAATGGAGCTCAAGGTATGCTGGCAGTCTCGAAGAACAAGGGAAAGAAAGTGCAGAAATGAAGAACACAAAACCCCTTTACAGTTAGCTAGTCGTTAGAAGTTACAGAGTCGTTAAGTGCCACGTGTAAAGGCACAGTTAATTTCATTTTCGAATTACAGTTTTACTCGTTTCCGTTTTTACTGTTCTGAACACTTGGTGGTATAAATAGAAAACAGAGAGCAAGATGCTTCTCTGAGTTTTCCTCTCCATTCATTCCAGTTGCTTAACCTAGCAGCTCCTCCATACCTCCTCCTCCTCCTTCTTCTTCTTAGGTACTGCGGTAAGCAAGGGGTGGAGTGAGATTTTCGTGAGGGTTTGTGAGACTCGGCGAGAGAGAGAAGGGATTTGGGTGATGATGGGGGCAGTTAGTTTGCTCAGATGCTCCGTTAGGAATGGGACTTTAGACTACCCACAACAACAAAAGGAGAAAAAAGCAATGTTGTCATAACCGAGCCGGAACATGACCCGATAACATGAATGACTCGTATTTTAGTGGTCCAATCGGTGTTGAACCGTTAACAAACCGTTAGATAACCGGTACCTTAAAAATAATAATATCATAAGTAAAAGACAAATAAAGTAGTAATTTAATAATTTAATGATCAAATGATATTTACTTCTACATGTACTACTTGGTAAATTTACACACTTATATATAATAACTAAAAAAAACCCTAGTGCATCCTAAGTGCAACCGTTCCCCACCCTCCCCCATCTCTCTCTCTCTCTCTCTCTCTCTCTCTTCTCGAGCTTTCTTCAGCCGCCTGCTCCTCCTCTTGAAGAACATCACTTCCCCCCTCACCATCGATCAATATCTTCCCATAAAATCAATCAGCTAATCGATCCAAATTCCAAGTCAAAGCAAGATGCTCACCGAAATTACAACAATAGCTAGCTAGCCTCCAACAATTAGTCAGCTAGCGAAGGAGAGGATCGCTTGTTGGCCTCTCGGCGACGAGGAAGACGTCGGGTCAGAAGGAAGAAATCGTTGG